TCGGAAATGCCATTATTCTTATTTGGCTGAGGTGAATTCTAAGAACGACCCAGAGGACCCAGGAAAGAATACAGTATCACTCTTGCTTACACGATTCACATTTCTCTCGCGTAAACATTTCAAACCGAAGCCGTCTTCTCAAATAATAATAAATATCAAACAATTCCAGTTTTATTTCCGGGATCAGTTCACGATTTGTTCAGATTAATATTTCGAATGACAATGACACAACTCACTCATTTCAAACAATGATAGACTTTTTTTTTTTAGTCGGTATAATTCCATGCATAGCAACGCATCCTCTAAGACTCAAGAGGTTACAGAGTCTGGAAGAATTAGGAAGAGAAACATTAATAATGAACGGGAAGAGGAGTGAGTAATCAGGAGGACAGTAGATAACGATTGACATTGCATTTAAATTTTTGAAGTTTAAAGTTGGCTGGAAAGCATGGAGCCGGAAGGGAGTTCCACAAATAAGAGAGTAAAGCCACTAAGACACAAGGGTTTAAAGGGTGTGGAAGAATTAGGAAGAGAAACATTAATAATGAGCGGGAAGTGGAAAGAGTAATCAGGAGGACAGTAGATAGCAATTGACATTGCATTTAAATTTTTGCAGATTAAAGTTGTCTGGAAATCATGAAGCCGGAAAAGAGTTCCATAAGTAAGGCAGTAAAGCCACTAAGACACAAGGGGTTACAGGGTGTGGAAGAATTAATAACAGAAACATTAATAATGAGCGAGAAGAGAAAAGAGTAATCAACACTGTATATAGCGATTGACATTACATTTAAATTTTTACAGATTAAAGTTGACTGGAAAACATGGAAGTGGAAACGAGTTCCACAAGCGAGAAGTGCGAGAAAAGAAACTCTTCGCATAGAATTTACGCCTACAACTAACTGCCTCAACTGTAAACTGATGAGATCTTGACATCAGTTTAATACTGCGATTAAATTAAACAACTCTAGGTACCACAGCGAACAGCTCTTCCGAAGAATTACTTTGAAAGTATTTATAGAAAAAACACAGAGAGGTAAATTTACGGCGGTGGAGTGACACTAGCCGAGCCGCCAGATCAGGACCAATAATATTGCTGATTCT